CGCGGGGTGGCCCCCGCCGCGGACCCAGAGCCGCTCTCGGGCGCGGCCCCACCTGGGCGACACCTTCGACTCCCCCAGGAGCTCCCGGAAGGCCTGCTTGGCGCGCAGCAGCCTGCTCCGCCTCTCCTTGCGCTCCTCTCTGACTCTGGTCTTGGCAAACTGCTCGAACACCTGCGGATGGGCGGCGGCGGGTCGCACTCGCGGGGGTCGCGCGCGGCGCCCGCAAACGGCTCCGGCCGCCCTGCGCTGCCAGGCGAGGCTGAGTCTTTGCAGCGCGGCCCCGGGCGTGGTGGGCGTTCGCCCGGGGGCCTCGGCCGCGCTGCGGGGCAGCTCCAGGGCCGTCCCGTGCCCGGCGGCACCCCACCCCCAGGGGCCCGCGCTGCGCCCCCTGGGCCCGGCGTTACCTGCTTCCGCTCCCCGGAGTTCAGCAGCAGGTAGCGGGGGTCGAACACAGTTTTATGCAGCTCTTTCTCCCAGGTGGAGAAGGCAGACACCTGAGGGCGTGGGCACTGCGTCTGGCCTCGAGGTGGCCGGCGGCGGGGGCCCTGGGGCAGGGGCTCGGCCTGCAGACACGCTGCCCACCGCCCACCTGCTGGGCAATGGCGCGCAGCTGTGCCGGGCAGCGCATCTGGGGGGAGGCGGCTCCCAGCGCCCAGGGAGCCCCGGAACGTCTATCTCCGCCCGTGGCCAGCTGAACCTCCGAAGGTCGTCTTCTCACAAGGGGCCCCCAAGCATAGTGGCCAGTGCTGGTGGCCCCTGGCCCGCCCGGCGAGCCTCACGCACCCCCACCCCGGCAGTTCCCAGACTCTTTGCCGTCCAGCAACTGGCCAGGCGTCCGTCAGGCACCCCCTTTGGGGCTCCCGTGGTTGGGGTTGTGGGCTTTTCCAGGGGCGCAGGGCTTGGGGGGGGCGGGTGAGGCCCCCGGGGAGCCCGAGAAGCAGGCAGGGCCGGGCCTGCGGGGCGCAGCCAGAGGGGCGGGCGTGAGTCGGGGTCCCTCTGGCTCAGGGCGGTTCCCAAGGCGTCCAGGGGAGCAGAGGGTGGACGGGGAGGGGCAGGGAGGGGCCGTTTAGGCCGAGGGGTGAGCGCGACCCTGTGGACAAGCAGCACACTGGGCAGCCCGGCGCCGAGTCCTTGAGGGTCTGAGGCTCTGACTGGGCGCAGCGGCGCCAGCCCCGGGCTCCGCCCTGCCGGCCTCGGCC